AATTAACTCTATCCCAGCCGAAACCAGGACAGGGAGATATGAAGTGCTTTATAGTGAGGGAGAGAATAGTGCATGGAGCTGTGTACATCCACAGACTCTGTGTGTCTCATACAAGAACCTTGAGAATCTTGGTGCACTTCATTTCTTGAAAATACCATTGCCTTATTGCCACTAGTAAGCCCACTGGAGACAAGTACAGTATGTGTATGACAAAAAAACTCTTGGATCTTCATAGGCAGAAATGCATTTATGCAGTAGGTGGATGGAGCTGTAGTCGACCTGAGTAGCATTGCTGGAACAGGGGGTTTAGGTTTAATGATGGGTAGCCACTGGGTGGAGTATCCTGGCTCCTTCCTGCTTTCATCTAGTCCTGATGTTGTTGCAAGTCACTTTTACTTTCTTTCATATTTTTTAGGCAAGTTGGAATTGAAATCAAAGATTTTGGACAAAGTTGGAGGAGTGGTGTTGCATTTCATTCCGTTATTCATGCTATCCGCCCAGATTTAGTGGACATGGAGAAAGTGAGGGAAAGGTCAAACAGAGAAAACCTGGAAGAAGCCTTCACACTTGCAGAAGCGGAACTAGGCATTCCAAGGCTCCTTGATCCAGAAGGTACCTAATGCATAGTTGAAATAAGTTTGAACTGCTTGCATTGGTTAAATCAGGCATGCTATTTCATAGCATTTAGACATTTAAGCAGCATTTTGTGCCATTCAGCTAAAAATTAATTTACCATGTTCTATACTTCTCTAGATGTGGATGTTGACAAGCCAGATGAAAAGTCTGTCATGACCTATGTAGCCCAGTTTTTGAAGTACTATCCTGATCCTCATCATACGGTGACTGATGTACAGGACAATGATGTAAGTTTCTCTTGCATAACTATATGACTTAGTTTATCACAAGGGGGGCTTTATAAATACATTTTATAGCTCTCTTATAGTTTATTATGTTTCCTTTTGATGAGCAGTTCAAGTGAAAAGCAAACACAATAAGAAAACTGGAAAAGATTAGCTGACAATAAAGGAACCGGTGTTGCAGATGTTTACTAGTAGATGGGGAAAATAGAATGGTGATCCTGCAGAGATTTTCCTATTTTCAGCAGTAGGAGTCAAAAAAACTACAAACAGTTATTGTAGATAGTGGCAAACCAATGGATCCTGAAGTTCCCTAAATGGTTTTCAAGCATAACACCAATGAGATTGCAATAATTTTTTACCTGAAGCTATGCGTCACTGCTGTTTCTATCACACTGGGTTTCTGGATAAGAACAAGAATAGTCCAAGAGATTGCTTAGGTATAGTCTTTGGGCTTTTAGGCTCAGGGGACAGTTGTAATTTTGATGCAGGTTTCTTTCTGTTGCACAGCAATGTTTGACTATTTGCTCCAAGGAATTGTTTTCAGTCATGTATTTTTCTTGGTTTTTTTTGTTTTGTGTATGCTCTAGTGCATTGGCTTTGCACTAGAACGTCTACACTTAGTGATGCCAAGTCATCATGACTCACTTCCTAATCCTGATCCTCTGCTTTCTTCATGGCAAACACAGGAAACACTGCTGAGACAATCTGCTCAGCCCCAGCAAGAGAGAAAGAGGAGACACTTTTTATTTGTGTTTCTCTGCATTCCCTACAAAGCTATAGGAGTGATTCTCCTTCCTTATGGTTACGTGTTGCTAAGGCAGCTGTAGCTTTGCTGTTCAATTCCAGCGCCTGAGCACTGGCATTTTTCATTTTCCTTGCTGCAACATTGGTGTGAGGACATATGTGCGCTGATGCCACAGCATCCCACTGAGCAACGGGGCTGCTGAAGTAGAGGGAGTGAGCACTGAAGCCTCATGCTGTGGCCTGTGGCAGGCTAAGAAAGTCCCGTCATCTCCATACAATGGCACACACAGTGCAGTTTCTGCTGCCAACAGCCTCAGCCAGGTCTGCTGCCTATGCTCGGGTTGGATTTTGAGGAACAGCCTCACCACCTTCTCCTGAGCTTTATGCAGAAACCCTGCAAGAGAATGCAGGACTCGGCCACTCCACGCTCTGCCTGCCTCTGGCTATACCCACAGAGATGGTAGCATATGAGCTGTGAAAGGGAAACTACTGAGTTGCCTCCAGAATTCCTTGTGAACTACTAGGAAGTGAAACAACACAAATTCATTAGTTTCACACGCTTAGCTCAAGACCACTTCCTCTTCCTAGATAGCGCTAAGTTATTCCAGTAGCAATCCAGGTGAATTTTGGTAGAACCGCTGGTTCCCTGCACGTCACACTGCAGAAATCAATAACTTACAGACTTCGAGAAGAAAGTAAGAGTTTGACATTGCACTAAATTTCTAATGTCATCATTCTTCATTTCCTTGAGGAAGAACTACATTCTTTCTCACACGCCTGATAGAATGCCTGGCAGTTTGGGACAAATTCCATTTCTCCAGTGGAGTGTCCAATCAAGAATAGTGATGGGACCCTCAATTTTTTCTGACACAAATTCTGCTAATCCATCTCTAGAGAAATTCTCATCCCTATCAGGCACTTATGTCCACTCTATACCTCACTCCCTAGTCCTGTCCATCATAATTTCCAGTTCACTCACCTCTGGTCAGGGTACAAAATGATGACCACATGGCATGTGATAGGTTCATGGGAAAGAGGTCTGGATGGATCCAGGCCAGTAAGCAATGCACAAAAATGTAGGACCCCAAGTACTCACTGGCCCTGAAGCAGTGAAATACATAGAAAAAACAGCACAATGCTTTCATCTATTTGGGACTGGATAGATATAAGCTCTCAAATGGCTAAACTTTTGGCATACTTCGGTCTTTTATTACTATAAACTTTTGTATTTCTGTCATATGTCACAGACAGAAGCTTATTTTGCACTTGGCTGCTTTACTTATGACTTTTGAAGGAGAATTTGTCAACAGATAATCAAATTTCTCATACTCAGAACTTGCATTTTAAGATAACTTGTTCTCAAGAAAATCATAATGATAGGTTTGGCAGACTATCATATACAAATTCCAACAAATGTTAGGACCTTAGTTTAGACAGTTCTGGAGGGGAGGGGGGGAAAGAAGCCAGGAGTTAATGCAGTTGATCCTGTTGACTGCAGGATACCTAGATGAAACAACATACCCATATAATCCTTGGCAAAATAAGAGTGTCATTCATATTACATGATACTTATGGAGAGATTCTAGTGCTGAAAATCCAAAAATGCAGTTTAAAAATATACAGACGTAAGTATTACATTCCATATTTGTACAGTATTTGAAGGGAAAATTGAAAAAAAAAATCAAATGTTTCATAATCAGATATCTTGTGGAGTTGTTTTTCACTGAGTGCTTTCACATCTTTTAGCCCAAATTCTTAATTGCGTATGGGTTGGTGAAAATTAGGCAAAGGATAATTTAAATCACCAGGTTAAGTAAAGCTATCACAACAGCAGATCCGAACTGATAGTGTTGCCAGCAGGTCAAGGAAGGCTGCCAGCTGGTGAGGACACACTTGGAGCACTGTGTCCAGCTCTGGGCTCATCAGTGCAAGAGAGACATGGATATATTGGAGAGAGTCCAATGAAGGGCCACAAGGATGATGAAGGGACTGAAGCATCTCTCCTATGAGGAGAGGCTGAGAGAGCTGGGGCTGTTCAGCCTGAAGAAGAGAAGGCTCAGGGAGGTTTTATCAATGTGTATAAATACATGAAGGGAGGGTGCAAAGAGGACAGAGCCAGGCTTTTCTCAGTGGTGCCCAGCGACAGCACCAGAGGCAATGGGCATAAGCTGAAACACAGGAGATTCCCTCTGAACATCAGGAAACACTTTTTTACTGTGAGGGTGACTGAGTGCTGGCACAGGTTGCCCAGAGAGGTGTCTCCAAGTTGGAGGTATTCAAAAGCCATCTGGACATGGACCTGGGCAACTGGCTCTAGATGTCCCTGCTTGAGCAGGGGGTTTGGACCAGATGACCTCCAGAGGTCCCTTTCAACTTCACCCATTCTGCAATTCTGTGATAATATTTAAGAGCATAGTTGATATATTTAAGATTTTTTTTTTTTAATGAAACAGCAACAGTAGAAGTCTTCTTGCAATGGAAGAGGAATGCTCTTTTCTAAATGGCATCATACAAGAATGGAGATATAAATTCCTTTTAAAAAAATAGAAAAGTGGATTCTGTTTATAAGAGACAGCACTATTTTTTTTACTACTTAAGGAAACATTCATGAACTTATCACTTTGCAAATTTAAGGGGAATCTTTTTTGATAGAAGTAACTGCTTGGAATCATAGTATGGCAACTGACTTTCTTGACCACACAAGCCATTTAAGTGCCTTTTTTTTAACCCCTTTCTGCACCCATGGTTATTCTAATATTCACCTTGTTAAATTAATTGACTGGAAAAATGTAAAGGAGAGAGTACTTCTTTTCTCAGTGCACAGTTGGCAATGAATCAGATACGAGATATTTGTGTGACTATATAATACATTTAGATTGAAATTAATTCTTTTTCAAGAAGTGTTGTCCACAGGTTCTGTTCTAGGTATACAAACATATGCAAGATCAGACCAAACATGTAAGACTGGTTCATTTTAATATAGCCCTTTTGTGTCCTGTAGAAACCATGTAAGTGATTTGGATGCCCTTGTGATCACCATAGCTAACAGTGCAAGGTAGAACAGTATCTATTGCCTCTTTTCTTTCCTCTTACTGACCTGGAGTATCCATATCCATCATGAAGCTTTCCTAGATGCAACTTTCTTCTATCTGTCAAAAAGAACTGAAAGAGTGACTATCTATCTCAGTTGCAGATGCCTACATTTAGTTAGAAGAATCCTACTTCAGAGTGGAGTGTGTCTGGGTAGTTTTTGATGGGAGGGGCAGGGGGAAGGATTTCTAATGCTCTCCCCCTGCCCTCCAGCCAATTCAGCTGCCACTGTGTTTCCTCAAGATGTGTTGTCCACACAAATTCCTTCTCATCTTTCCTCCTGATTCAATATTCGGTTTATAAGGAATTTGCATTGGACAAAGTAGAGTAATGATTAAAGCTTACCCTTATTTGTGGTCAGAGGGAACAGCTATTTGCATGTGCATTTCCAGATTTAAAAGGGACCTAATATCTCATGCATGGACCAGCTATGCACATATATGAACTTGTGTAGTCAACACATCTCAAAGAATCACAGTTACTCTAAGGTAAGTAACTATTTTTCCAGATAAAATAAATCGTGCAGTGACTAATAATCTGGAAATCAGATCTAATATGAAAACTACTTCACTAGATACGATACAGACACATGAACTTGATAATATTTTAAGTAGATCTTGTATTCTTACATGTGTGGCTCTTTTATTGTTCTCTCTGGACTTTCTGCCTTCTTTGCTTTATTTTGTTTGCTTCTTTTTTTTTTTTCTCCCCTTCCTTCTTCTTGTTTTCCCATTTGTTTCATATGCTAGGAACTTCAAGCAATCCCAACTTTTGTCATTTCTTTTATGAAATTTAAGGTAAGGGTAATATGCTCCAGCAGAATTGCTTGAATTGGACCTTTCTTGCTTGTTATCTGTTTTTATCCTGCACTTACGTGACTTTATATTTTGGATGGGTTTATGTACATTGGTTTGCTAGCCTTACATTAGTCTTTCTAAAAAAGCAAATAATTAACATAATGAATCTAAGTCTACCATCTTACATGAGCTGATCCTAACAGCCTAATGCTTAATTTTGCAAATAATTTCACAGAAATATTATAGAAAAGCAAGTCAACTTTCCTATAATAAATCTCAGACTATTGGTTTTAATTATAGATATAAACATGAAAAAATAGATTATAGATTTGATGTTTCTATTCATCTAATCTCATTTTGGATGGATATTTTTGTATGTCTGTAGGTTTATAGAGTAGATACTAGATTGTATATATGGTTGTGCAAGTGATGTATGTGGACTGTGTTAGAAGGAGAGGGCATTCATGTATAATTGCATGATATGCACTGTTCCTTTTTCACATAAATTATGATTTTTTAAAAATATACTTTTTTAATCATCTTGGACATTTAGATATTTATAATTGCCTAGTATTAACTGAGAGAAGTTCAACAATCTAACATGGAGTATTTGAAATGAACATTCAGAGGTGAAACTGGAAGACTGCAAAAGTGAATATATTATGAAACACAACAGATATCACTCCAGTCAGTCAATAGTGTTTATAATTTGACCTGACCCAATTAATTACCTTGGTTCCACACTCATAGGTTTTTTGTTGGGTTTTTTTTTTTTTTTGGGGGGGGGGCAATAGGTTATTTTCAAGTAAGTATGATCAAGTGTTCATCTCATATTATGTATATCTAACTAATTATATGAGGTGAAGTGAAGATTAATACTGATAGCAGAATTATTCCCATCTTCTCAATCAATTCCAGCAAGTTTGGGCAGCTTTAATGGGACCTTGTTGTACACTCTTAGCCTCACACAGCCTCAGTACATTGCTGCTTAAGCTAGTGAAGATATTAAGTAGTAAAATCTCTGTCAATTCCTTTATCTTGGTATAAATTTAACTATAGAGGAAGCACTCTCCTTCGAAGTATTTCTGATGTAAAATCTTTATCTTCTTGTGCTCTGATGAGCAAGTAATTCAGAAGATAATCTTGCCACCTCCAACATCTTTATGCCAGCATTTTCTCAATGTAAGAGGAATTTCCTGAGCAGCAACTGCAAAAATAACTTTCTGAGCTCTTCCAGTGATTTACTGTCTACTTGTACAGATAGGCATTAATAGCTCCTTGCTGAAGATGATGCTTGGCTCAGCATTCACCATGCATCCATGATATTGTTGTCAGTGAACGTGTTTCAGTAGCACACAGACACATATACATCCAGTAACACATATATACAAGTCAGTTTTCAAAAGGAATAGCATAATTAAATGAATTAATGTATAAACATTTTTAAAGGGACTTGATTTTCTCAGCACATAGGCAATAAAATTGTTCAACATCCCTGAAAAACAGGTTATTTAATTTTTTAGATGTAAAAGTTCATATTTGAAAATCCTATCCTGCCTCTGCCTGAGAATTTGAACAGTTCACCTGATGTATAATTACATATTAGAGAACCCAACAAAGTACTCCTTTTCCAGTCCATAATTAAATTTCTCATGAAACACAGATGTGTATTTTTAGCTCTTCAAACACCAAAGTATTCTGTATTATGTAATTTTCAAATTAACTCTGGCATATCAGTTAATAAAATAATGTTTTGGCTTTGAGTCTGGACTGAAAACTTTATTTGTAAATTTAAATTGTACCCCCATATATTGGAACTCACAAACACTTTTCTCTAATTACCTTCTTTGATGTTCTTTGGCAGTTGAGTGCTCCAGTTCTGTTCATCTCTGCAAATCAGTGAATATTCATAGAATGGTGTCAGGATAAATTAATACTTTAAAATGCTCTTTGGAAGCAGTATGCAGAAAACAAGTCATAGCAGCTTAGATAAACTGAAATAAATGTGATCAGAGATCAATGATTCTCATACTGGGGAAAGCACAAATAGTTACAATTATGCTGGATAACTTTTCTTTGATGGTTTGTGTTCTGATCTGTATGCTACTTCAGATGGGCAAGTTTTAGAAAATAGTTTACATAGCTGTAAGAGTCTCTCTTCGATATTTTTTTACTAAGAGCAAGAACCACTAAGCACTAATCAAAGTCTTGTTTTAAGAATGATAGCTCATTAAACCTGGGGGGTGGAGGGGTTGGTGACAGGTGCCTTGGTGTCTAAGAAAGTGAATCTTCTATGTCGGTTACAAAAGCATTTTAAAGTCTCAGTTTGGGTATCAACCGAGGACCACAGAACGAAGTTTGCAGGTGATAAGTGATATGCTGAACTGGAAACCTGTGAAAATATATGAATAAATAAATAAAATGCTTATCATGCATTGTAGCACAATGTCTTTAACAGCATTCAGTTAGGCAGCTACTGAAACGGCTAAATTTTCTGCAGTTAAAAAAAGCAAGCAAGTAATTATGTACACTAAATAATAATAATTAAAAAAATCATAGAAGACTCAATGCCACCTGTTAACTTTATCTTTTCACTTAATGTCAGAGAAATGGTATGTGATTTAAGTGCAGTGTGGCTGTTCCTGTGTTCTTTATCTTCAGGTACCATAGAGGTGTTCTTGATCCCGGTGAAATTCTATTCCAAAAAGATTTGGTCAGACCCAGTTTTAGGCATTATTATATAAGTTATGTTGACAGGATTCTTGCAAAATACCTATTTTGCTCACATTGCTGTATGAACAGTTGCAGCTACACAGATGCTCTTGCAAAGACTTACCTCAAGGAGGTGCTTCTCGGAATAAGAATGTGAGCCATAGAGGGATAAAAGCCAGTGTTTTACAAAACTGAATTTATAGTGTGAACACTATAAATATATATACACTATATAAATATAGTATATACACAACATTATGATGCATTTATTCTCTTCCTGACTTCAAGAATATCTTACTTCAGTTAGTTTCAGTTAGTAGGATTGTTACAGGACTTTCAATCCATTAAGATGCATAGTTTAGTATTGTCTTTATGGAGCTGACAGCTAAATACTAATAGAGATCTCAATAGTCTCGCTGAAGTTATAATTTCTAATTAATGGAGTACATTTAATATCAAAGTTCTTTTTCTGATGGCTGAATGAATTAAGAATTCTCTCTTGTATTATTCTACTCATAGGGGAGTAGTCCTGGCTTCGCTGTTTATCTCAAAGAATCTTGATGCTATTTTTCCACACACAGAGCCAACTATCAGACCAGAAGAGTGGGAATTTTATTCTCCTTCTCTATATTTAAATGATTTGAGGAGTTGGAAGCACTAGGAGTTTTGGCTTCTTGGGCTACTGTGTGCAGTCAAGTAAATCCCAGCATTACAAATAACTGGAGCAGGGAAGTGTCATATGTGTCCTACACTGTTTCTCAGGTACCAACTTTTGGTGAGCGTCAGAAGACAGGAGCATGAGCTATAGTGAACTTTGTTCCAGCACAGCTGCTCTGATATCATGTTAACCTCGCTGCAACTACCCAGCTAAGAATTTACCCAGCGACTTAACAGATATAATACCAGTGATATTTGCACAATCTGTTGTGCAAATTCTGTCCAACTAACTGCTGCTGTTTTGAGTAGAGTATCAGTACAAGAATTAGTACAAATACATCAAAGAAGGGTTTCTTTCCTATCTGAGGATCCTGTCTTTTCCTCAGCTGAAATAAAGCAATAGCGCTACGCTTTTAAAATTATTAAGGGCAGTTCTATTTTACGTATTTGAGGCAGCTTTCAAAGAAAGGAACCATAATTGGCTCCTTTCCCAAGTTAGGATCATTTCTCAAAAGTAAGTACATCGTTTCTTAAATACAGTCAGTGGCTATTCTTTTTTATCACATGGTCCAGATTTTCTTCTCTCATGTAATGCTTGAAACTTAATCACTCATTTTAGGTGATTAACTCATATGATGTGGTGTTGTGCTTTTCTCTGTAATAGATCTATTTCTGACAAATTTTACAGTAATATAGCTTCTTTGATTTCAAAGAGTAGCTTCTGATTAGCAGCTAGCTCCTATAGTTCATTGGTTAGAAATCTGAGACGGACACTTGTATCCTACTTGATTAGCCTGCTTACACAGTGCACAAAAAAAACCCTTTCTGTTGTCTGTTAATCTTCTCATATAACACACTCACAGACCTGAGATTTCCTGTTAGTATTTTTCTATTCACTGCCAGGTCACTGAATTCTGCAGGGAACTTTGCAGTCTTGCAAAGCACCAGTGCCATGACAGACTGACATGTTAAAGCAAAACTGTAAAACAAATATGCTGTTCTTCAAAGCCATAAAATGGCATGGAAAGAAAAGAAAGTGAATACATTTGGGTTTTCTTTCTTTTCATTTTCATTGTTAAAACATTATCAAAATGTTTTGCCAAGTTCTGAACTTGGAACTTGATGTCAAGGATTGCCCCGAAGTCACTCAGAAAATAACTTTTTTTCAGCAGTAGCACACGAGATAATAAAATGGTGATAAAAGATGATAAAATCCTCTCCTGTCTCAGCTCAATTAACTTTTACTGAAAATTGACTCTGCAAATATGTGTAAGACTAAAATTAGCTATTGAGGTATATTTAAAAGACTTTGTGTTAATTTAACATCAGATGAGAACTGCAAGTAATATCTCTGACACTGCAATGTCCCAAATTGTTGTGATTTCACCAGTGTAAGACTCACATCTAGAAACTGAGTTCTCTTATACTCAGGAAGTGCTTTTCAGTTAGACTGTATGAAAATAAGCGATGAGACAATTGTGCCCTGGTGTTGCATTGGCTTTCACTAGAACTAATAACCTTGACCTGCTAGAGATGTTAATTTCTGGAGTATATCTGACATCTCTACTAATTGGCTGCAATGGTTTTTTTGTGTGTGTGGTTGTACTAAATCATAGAAGGAAGACAGACTGATGCTGAGAGACCTAAAAGTGTGGGCAGAACAATTTGAAAGAGACTTAGCCCGAGCACAGGTGGCAGAAACAAGCTTACAGGAGAAATACCAGGTAAGCAGTAGGGAAAATTTTGTATAAGACATATTGTCATCATTATGTGTAACATGTACTTCAGTATTTTATGCAATCTGTATATATGCAAGTGAATATACTGTAGTTTAAAGAAATAAGGACACAAACTGTCTTGCCTTTTATTGGTGGAGAAATTATAATGTCAGCTACGTAGCACAGTGCACAGATGGATTGCCTAACACAGAGCTTTTTCTAGCAGTGTGAAGAAGGACTGTCCTAGTTAGAAGTGAGCATGTGTCTGTACAGTTCTTCCCGATCCTGCGTGATATAGCTCAGATGGGAGGTATGACTGAAGGCTGGATGAGGTGACAGGTGGAGATGACAGGGCTTAGAGCTTCATTTTTCACCCCTCTCTCAAAGGTTAATGTCTAAATCGGCAATATAAATTTTGGTCTAAATTTGCTCCTGAAGCTCAGCTGTTCTCTAAAAGCAGCCACTGTCTGTCCTAAGTAGCATTTAATCCATTTGCTAGGTTATCTGATCGATTATTATTTCCTTTCTTATAGGGTTCAGGCATCTGATAACTGAAGGGGAATACTAAAGTCCTACCTATATTTCCCTGGAGGATTCTACAGTCTATTAAAACCTGTAATAAGATGCATTTCAGTGTAAATATACAAGTTTGTTGATACTCCTCTTTGGGAAGGATTAGGACTTGTATTAGTACAAAATTGTCATAGGCTGTAGTATTCCATAAATGTTGAAGAATTTCATTCTTTGACTCTGTACTACATTGATTTGATTTTCTCTTTGTGCAGTCATATAAGCATTTCAGAGTACAATATGAGGGAAAAAGGAAACAGATTGAACTTGTAACCCAGTCATTAAGGAAAGATGGTAAATTATCACTTGATCAAGCTATGGTGAAGCAAGCGTGGGACAGAGTTTCTTCCAGGGTAAGTTGAAAATTATTTTTTATTAAATGAAGGATGAGAATTTAAAATCATTTAGACACCTGTTTGCTATTTATTTTATTAGGCATTAGGAACCTAAAAATGGACCAAATTTCTAGCACTGTTGAATAATTTTGCATTTGTTTTGAGAACATTTACTGCACTATCGTCTTTAATATTGCTCAAAGACAGAATATGAACTTTAAGAAAAGGACTATACTTGGAGGTTTCCCTTTATTTGGAAGTGTTAACAGTGCTTAGCCAAGTTCAAACCATTGTTGATAAAAAGAAAAGTATGCACAAAGCCCCTTTGCAATGCTATGTTTTAATGTAAATTGCTAGAGTTATCTGAGAAATTCTAATACAACATTTTTTAAATATAACTAAAAAAAGCTTCTGTGTAATACTGAATACTTTATCAATAAATGAGACTTTAATGCTATTTTTGACATGGTTGCAATAGTAGTAAATTAATATTAGCATTTGTGATAATAATTTTGTAATAATTGAATGAAAAATCCCAAGCAAGTTATATAGTTTGTCCCAAATAAGAAGTTATTAAATCATTACTATTCATTGTATATTCATGGATTTTTTAATGTCATTTATTTAACAGAGGATCCATTTTAAAATATTCTGAAGACTTAACATAATTTTCATTATTTTTCAGTCCTATAACTGGGATTGCCAATAAGACATGGTATTTTACTGCTATATTCCCGATGTCACAGTCCTTTGAGACTCATTTGCACTGTACACATAGAAAATATGTTCAAAATAGAAATAAAAAGGTTTTATGCAAGAGCATGAAATAAATTACATTGGGTGGAAAAGGTCTCACATCCCTTGCTGTGCCTATTAACTGATGAAATTCCAGATCTTTAGCTTGTCAGTAGTTCCAGTTTATATGTGTTCAGTTTTGTAATTCAATTACCGTTCTGGAAAGGAAATAAATGAATCAGTGAATCCTTATAGAGATTTTGTTGCCTGTGAGAATGCTATAATTTCAGAACTAATGTGAAATAATATACCTAGGTTTATGTCTCAAACATCCTCTGTTATGTGTGGGGTTTTGGTCTTAGAGTATAAAGTCCGATTTTTCTCAAGATACTTGTTTGTATAATTAAGCAAGGAAGGAAATTCAGTCCTCTTACTTTTATTTCCTAGCTACTTGATTGGCACATACACCTTGATAAATCTCTTCCTGCACCTTTGGGTACCATAGGTGCTTGGCTCTACAGAGCAGAGGCTGCTCTGAGGGAAGAAGTAACTGTTCAGCAAGCTCATGAAGAAACAGCGAATATAATACACCGGAAGCTTGAACAACATAAGGTAGATCTACATGCATTCATTCTGTGCATTATGTTTCATTGTTTCCAAAGCTGTAAATGATCCTTACTATACAAAGAAAGATTATTATTTCTAGTTTCTGTGGTTGGTGTCATTTTGATGGTAGCTAAAGCTAGGTGTCTTTTAGTGATGTCTCCAACTGTGATATCTGTGTATCTTACAAGCAATATTCAAAATTGCTTTTGAATGTTCCTGCTTCTTCTATCTGAAAGATCAGGTATTAATATTTTAATTGTTCCCCTATTCTAGGATTTCTGTTGGGTAAAATTCCATAGGGAGTTCATAAGTTGGGTACATTGTTCAATCAGTATGAACGCATTAGGTGAAACAGGAGAGGGAGAGAGAGCAAACATACTAAGTGTGCTCATAGCCAGTGCAGGTGATATGCACTGGGGGAAAAAATAGAATGAAGTGAGTTTTCATAGTGTTGTGATGACAAATAGCATGAGAAGTACCCTCTACTGTGGAAAAAAGGAAACTTTTCCCGATAAATTCAAATACCTTTGCCATTATTCTTTGCTGAGTCCAAGTTCTCTTTTAAAATCAAAGCTATGAGGTTAGTCTGTGCATTCATGTAATGTATATGAGAAAAATATAGACAGAAATTGTTGGTGAGATGATAAAAGAAACTGAACCAGTAAGTATGATAGAGAAGGGAGAAAGATGGTGTAGAGAAAGGCTGCACTTGTGGGTGTAAGGCTGTATTTTATATTATTTTTTTTCTCTATTGCTGTTATTCTAAAACTTGAATATATTTTTGTTATTTTTTGTATTTTGGATATGGGTGGGGTTTTTTTATTAAAAAGTAATGCCATATAATGAAAAGCTGACAAGTTTCATGGTCATCTTGGAACAGCTGTGACAGACAATAGTAATTTATCTGGAAGATCAGTTGGATCTTCTGATCACTCTGTCTTAGAAAAGTGGTGGCTCTTCTAAATTAAGTTGTGGCTAATAAAATTTAACCAAAACAATATTAAAATATGAGGAAGATATAGTTTTCTTCAGGGTCTAGTCTCTCATAATGCTAAATTTTGTTAGCTTTCTTGTTAACATCAAATGTTTCAGGATTCATAAGATTTGACATTTGTTTAAAAAAAGCAAGACAAACACTTTTTTGTTCTTATATTGTGAACGCTATAGAACTCCTTTGATACATTCATAAGAAACACAGAAGAGTGTGTCCTAAACTGTGTTTTCTTTGCATCAGAAATGCTGTGGTGAAGGATTTCTATGCCAACAAATAAACTTTGATTTAGGTTAGTCTAAGGGGAGGGGGGATGTGCCAGGGGAGTTTCCCATGGGAGTGGGATGGAGAAAGCTTCAAGAGAAGCATGGGTAATTTTATCCATTCCTGGAGTTTGTTTTGTCATTCAGATTTGCATTAATGAATTGTAATGTGCTATTGGATAGTACCAGAAATGCATTAGTAGGTTGCTTTTTTTTCAGTCCTTGTTTCCTAGGAAGTTGTTGGGGTGGGTTTGTTATGGTTTTGTTCAGATAACATCATCACTTTCTCTGTATCTTTGTCTCATCTGACAATGGGTTATTTTAGCGAACTTTATAGTTTATGGACTTTTTGAAGCTAATACAAAATGTACCAGTTTATTTGGACAAAACTTCAAGGAATCAGGCAAGCACTTAAGTTTATTTTAGTTAATATTGCTACCAAGATACAGAAATTAAGGACAATATCTGTGCATGTTGAGGGTCATTTTGCAGAGCAGGACTTCATCTCATGAGAATGTTATTTATAAGTTTTCATGGGCTTCCAGTTGCTGTTGGATGAAGCTATTTTGGGTTCTATTTTGACTGATCAATGCATGTTAGGGGCATCCCTTTTTGTCTAGCAAGTTCTCAAATGCAGCTAGTTGAGATACTTGTTCTAAGTCTTTCCTTTATGTGAGAGTATGTTAGCCACAGGATACCCTCAGTGGAGTGTTTGCCAAGTAAGCAGTGCATCACTTGCACCTGAGACAGACTAGTTCATTTCTATTCACAACAGGGTGTTTGCTGAAGGGGAAAAAAAATGAAAATATAGGTGGGTTGATGGGGATGGTGGGACCACTTGGTGAGCTGAGCCAGTGAATTAGCATTAATTTCTGCTGTGCAAACACTGGCCATTGACTGGGGAGAAACCCTTCTTCAGCACACAGGAATAAATAGATAACTGTGATCAACACACAGCCTCCATCTTGTTCCCCCAGGTGAGAAAGGGATACCTTTGTATTATTTCCTTCGCTAACAGGCTTCTGAGCACTTTGTGCCAGGAGCTGTCTGTATGCAGTAAAACACCCACTGGTGTGTCCTCTCAGCCGCCGGGGACTTGACGTGTTATTGTTACGGTATCTCTTCAAAAACTACTGGCAGTCATTCATTTTAATATGTAATCTCCAGGAAGCCGTTTGAAGCGGTGTTGCTTAGTTACAGTTGAAATGTGCTCTGCTGTAAGGTTTTTGCTGGTACAGTTCTTATCACAGGAATACAGGTCGGGTACCACATTCTGCATTCATTCGTGTAACATAGAGCAATCCTGAAATATTTGGATGCTGAGAGAGTGAAAAGTTCGCTAAATATTGAGTATGTACTTACATAAGGAGCTATGGATATTCTGCCTGTATATAATGGAGTAGATTAGTTGCTGCAAATTTGAATGTATACTTAATAAAGGTTAGTATCTGTTATAAAGATGTAAAGAGCAAATTTAGCAAGATTATGTTGTTGTGATGTTAGGGTATTTGCAGACGGCATTTCAGGCATTATATAATAGAGTTAATAGTTCTTGTTTTGTTAAACCTTTGCAGTGTATCCTCTGTTTTAAAATCTTCCATAATCGTTAGACACAGCTTTAGCAGAGCATCTTACAAGGGGGCTCCCTATGTAAATGTTCAAGTTGATGTAAATGCTTTTGTGGTAAGCATAACCTTGCATGCAAATGTGAGAGCATGATCAAATAGTTAACTACATTGAGTCATCAGTGCAGGCTTAAAATTGTGCTTATTAGTTAGATAGCCTACCGTGAGCCTTCTTTCCCTCTCTCTCTGTGTCTGTCTCCCTCCCCCACCCCACCCCCCCCGCCTCAATCTCTCTCTCTTTCTTAAAATCAAATCAGGATCTGCTGAAAAACATAGATGGTCACAAAAAGACATTCCATGAGATCCACGGGGCCAGGTCTGTTAACGGAGTGCCTGTTCCGCCTGACCAGTTAGAGGATATGGCAGAGAGGTAAGGCTTTCAATCTGAAATAAAAACCCTCTGTGAATGAAAGGGAACCTGTTCGCTTTTTAATCTGTTCACGTAGAAATCACTGCCTAATCATGTTTCTCAGTGACAAGCATGAAGAAATTGGAAGGAAAAACCTCCTAGAATATATATAAAAATAGACTGAAAAGCCTGATGCACTAAAGATTGATGAGAATCAAAATAAACTATGGGGTTTGGAAGGGAATACTTTCTTACATTAAGCCTGTTATTACTTGTCCCTGGAAGAAATGTTATGTAACAACAGCCAGGATGCATGTGAAAAAAGAAAAGAAAAATGACTTTGCAAAACTTAGTAACAGATGTAAACTGATGATTTCTATGAATAAACAGAAGTGTAATTAATTTGCCGTTCAAAAGCAGTCATCAGAATGATCTTCATGCATAATTAAATGTTTGTAGACTCTCAGTTAGGTGAAAGATTAGAAAAATATCTGAACTGTAACTAAAGCTTTCAGTCTCTCCTGCAAAAATGAATATTGCTGTATTTTACTACAGTGTGATTCATTTTATAGGTTTAATTTTGTTGTCTCTTCATCTGAGCTCCATCTGTTGAAGATGGAGTTTCTGGAACTGAAGTACCGTCTACTGTCACTCTTAGTCCTTGCAGAATCAAAGTTAAAATCATGGATTATCAAATATGGAAGGCGAGAGTCAGTGGAACTACTTCTTCAAAATTATATTGTAAGTTGGTGTTGTCATCTTCTTCTTGTCATTATTTTTGAAATATTCTGAATGAAATATAATGAATATTTTGAAATATTTAAGATTGCTAGAAATTAATAAAAGAACAGAAACAGAAATGAGACTTGCCAGTCATCAACTTTATGACTGCATTCTTATGGAATATGTTTTTCAGAGGTAAATTTGTCTTCCCCATGAACTTTAGTCAAAAGGTTAAAAATGAAAATGATTCTCTTTGCACCATCTCTTCAAAAACAGAAATAGTGTCCCAGCTGCTAATTGTCCCACCATCAATTTACCAAGCATATCTGGAAGTTCCAAATCCTAGATTTTTACTTACCTTAGATAACAGTTCCAAAGAACCTAATTTAATCTTTTTTTACAACTGCATAGATGCACTTTATAGTGACTATACACAGATTAAATGTAGAGATAGAAGAGGTTTTTGGCATGCAGTCCCCCACAGTAGTCTTTTTTTTTTTTAAAGTCCTCCAAATGAAGGGGGGAAAAAAAAAAAAAAGTTATGCTGCCTCTATGCACTTGTTCAATATACTATACTGATAGGGGATTCATTTTATTCTTTTAAAGAATGGGTTTTCTTCTCCTGCTCAGCATTAGTATATTAAAGCTATTACTTTATTTCTGTTCTGGAAAGAGATTGCTCCAGCTCTGCATCATCCATATATTAAGAAACAGAGGTTATTGACTTACAAATGCTCATGGATATGTTTGTTCCCTTCCAGTCTTATGCTTCTGTGTCTTGTTAAATCCACGCTTGTAGTGCCAAGTGGCTGGTAGAATGGTACCACTGCTGCACTTCTACATTAGGACGTCAGGGATTCTTTCAAAAGCAGGGCTGGGCTAAATGCTTTTTCCCCCTTCTGTCTAATCCATGTGAGGAGAATTGCACAGGAAAATTCAGTTTGGAAAGATTTCCTACAGTTATAGAACCATTCAGAGCCCGGACAATGTGTAGAGAAAGTTACTGATGTCCCCACAGCCTGGTAGTTTTTATTGCTTTGGAAGAAAACTTCAAACTCAATAAAGTTCTACAAAGTGAGAATTGAAGACCTGTTCACACTGTTCCTTTCTATGTTTAAACTTTTGCAGTTAGGGACACATAAAAATTCAGGAGTTACACCTTGGTTTAGACAAGCTTTGCAAAATTGAGATGGTTATTTAAAATACCATAGTTTGCTAGAGTGGTGTGCAATAGCTAGGAGTTATAGTCCATTTGTATACACTGCAAGGCTGTTGCAAAAACTACTAAAAGGTGACAAGGGAAATAATGAGGAAGTGGATAGCTTGACTTCCGGATTATTGTTTTGTATCACTTTCTTATTGTTTGCTTTAAAATGAACATTAAGTGGTGAATTTGTATGTTATTTTGCGATTGCCTCAATTATTCTTGTACTTCAGACCACTAATGCTGAGATGGTCATTAGGGGAAAGAAAATGCTTCCTTGCATCATTTATGAAACTGCATCACACCAAACTGAGGAAATTGGGACAAGATGATAAATAGAGCTTAGTTTCATTTCTGATGGCCTTGAATTCTGGCTCCTTCCAGATGTCCAGTGATGGAAAGAGACTTTATTTGCTTTGGCTTACCTGGCAGCAATTTTCTAGGATGAAGAGCCAAGTGTTACTCTTCCAGTAAATTAGAAGTCTTACGTAGGAAAGCTGTAGTCAGTACCCTATAGTCAGTGACTATATTAGTAGGAGATAAAAATGTAAGTTTGCTTGTCTGCCAAAGCAGACAGCAATGTCAGCATTCTAGGAACATGCGTAATTAGGATCTGGATAGAACATATGCCTGGAAAATATTTATGTACTGTAGCTGAAAAATAGAAGTGGTGGTTGTTACTTTATCCCATCTTCTTTTCACCTGTCTGCCATATACCGGAAATAAAGGTCAGCATAAATTGTACACCATCAACCTGAAGAATATATTCTATCAAAGTCTCAGCTGCAATGGAAATACTGCATACATTTATCCATGGATTTTAACCCACGGAACTGTGTTGTGGCATTGCTGTATTAACATTTTTTTAGCACCGTATGGTATATGGATTTGGGAAAAGCTATGTATTTTCTTTAAGGGATCTTGTCAGATGGCAGACAGTATTAATCAGTAAAATGTCTACATTTAATTTTTGAAAAGATTTCCAGTTGCTCTTGAGATCAGTATTATATAAGTAGTTTTGATACAGTCTTTTACTTTCGCATATGAAGTCTTGCAGTTTTTGGTTCAGGGTAAAATGCCTGTGTGTATGGGTTTGGCAAAAGTGAAAGTCGGGAGTTTATCACATAATTCGTACTAAAGCATGTAGTTTTTTATACATGCCAGATATTTTTTTTTAACCGTAGAGCAGAGGAAAATTCTGATTGTCCTTGACTTCTAGTTTCCTTGGTTATAAACACATTTTTAAATTACGTACTAGATCACGGTGGTGATTTGACATAGCAACTGTAAAAGGTTTTAAAATAGAAGATTTTTAGATATCTATACTGGCAGGCAGCTTAATTTTTAAAACTGTTTTTCATGTTTATGTAATGTGGGTTGATGAATATACAAAATCTAATTCTCCTCTTGAAAGTACATTGAACTTTGACCTCATTTGAAATGTGGTTTTACCAAAATCACACTAGTACATGTAGAATTTTGTCTATTCTGACATTCCAAAGCTTACGTAGACGTATGGGAGATGTACTTGACTTAGTTTTGTAGATCTGTAACTGAGGAGGCATGGGAGGTATTATAAGTTACAAAACAATTCCAAAACTCTAGATAAGTACATTAGGTAAGGCATTATAAAAGCCTGGTAATAAAGCAGGTTTTTTTCCCTTTTTTAACAGTGGTAACGCAAGATATAGTATGCTTGCATAACATATTATATATCACACTTAAAGGAAGTAACATTTCTGAAAGACATTTAAAAAAAAGTCAGTGCCATTTACCATAAGGGATAAAGAGGCATAAATGATAAATAGCCATAACTTTGTCACCAGAATATTTCCAGATAAATTATTCATCACACTATAACACATTGCACAGCTAAAACATCACTCACAAAGGAAGAGCATTGTGTCATGCTTTGGAAAACCAGCATCTCTTTGTGCAGTGTTTCCTTAATCTTATTTTTACCAATTACAAAGGAGGTAAAGGAAAACTGAAGGATAAGTCAAATGTTTTTCATCTCTGAAAGTGAAACCTGCCTTTCTGCAAAGCCTTAATACAGGAACAATTTTGAAAGTTTAACTGGATTTTTGTGGTGACCTATGCGGATGAAATTTTCTCTTTTACTAAAATGATTCCACTTAGATTTCAGTGTAGAATAGTTTCCATTAAATAACTTTTAAGTTAATTGCTCAGTTTCTGCACATTCAAAGTATCATATGCTAGTGAGTTCCAGCAAGTCAGCAGCTAACAGACAAAGAACATATTAAATATTCTTTCCATATCCATTTATAAAGGGAGACTGTGCTGCACCATTAACTTGAAAAGGTGAAATTTCTGTAGTATTTTATAATGATGATAATTTAAATATTATTTTCTAATGATGAAAAAAATTAATGGAGGAATAATGAAGTTAAAAGTTGTCATCACTGTCCTGATGTAATTTCATGGAAATTATCCTTATTCTTAATATCTATCTTTATTTTGTCTGTTGTAATATTTTTTTTCTTTTCAGTCTGTTATTGAAAATAGTAAGTTCTTTGAGCAGTATGAAGTTACTTACCAGATCTTGAAAAGAGCAGCTGAGATGTATGCCAAAGCAAATGGCTCAGGTATGCCTGTGTTTCTTTTGTCATGGGGACACCATTTTAATCTCTTTAGACATAAGTATCCTCTAAAAAGATCTCCTAGTATTTGTTTCTTCTATGCAGCAGAGCTGTACAGCAGCTGCAGTTCACAAGAGAGGCTACAGCCTCTGGTAGCAATTTCACATATTCTCCAGCATGAAGCCAGCTGGTACCGAGCAGCCTGTTGTTAAGATTTCTTAATCTCCCAAAGAGGGTGGTCATGTTCAGATTTCCTAATGGCAGAAGTTCATGGTCTATGCTGACTTCTGGATTGTTTCAGTGTTGTTAATTTGGGCCAAAAGTGTGCCAGAGACCAACTTAGGAGTAGGGATGATCATGTTCTGGTGCCTGGAAATGCTCACTGGCTTGGCTTCATTTACTAGAAAAAGACAAATAGAGAGTTGGTCCCAGTATTGTTGTAGTAGCAAAAGTATCCCCTGAGGTACTGAAGATTCTTCAGTAACTGTGACAACCTGTAAGAGGAACCCAAATGATAGTTGAAGTATGGATATACATGAGAAAAATGTGTAGCTGATTTAACAGCTGCCTCCTGTAATTCCTGAACACTGCTGAGTTCAGTAAGAATGCATGAGGGCAATATTTGGCCTAGATAGTTACAGAGACATCACTTTAATCTCTGCCGAGGAGATAACACAATAATGTCGATGGATGATTGCTGCAGCTGCTAAAGTGTTTAGCAGATGTGGAGAGAAAATAGATATCTTTTTTCGTTGTGAAATTTAGTCAATGGTGACAATGGTGACAAATTTTACAAAAGCAGACATTTTTTACAAGGTATTCTTACAAAGAATAAAATCAGTAGATTTCTTCAATGCTATTAAAAAACATCCAATAAAAAATCTTTTCTAAAGGGCAGCTACTCAGTTATATGAATTCAGAAACAGCAGTGCAAAATAGAGGACACCGTAGCTAAAAAATATTTTTTAAATTATCTATATTCTGCTTGTTTTATGAAGTCTCAGGATTTGCTTGGGTCTTTTTTCTTCTCTGTTTTTTCATCTGGAATGAGGACACACTTGCTCCTTTGTTGCTGTGAGGAAAACACTAAAAATTAAATGGCAAAAATTAGCAGCAGTTTGGTTTTAAAGTTAGTGGAAGGAAGATCAACATTTCATTCAGTACTTTTTGATGCAGACATAATATGTGTTTGTTCATTATACATCTCTATTATTTTCTGCTTTTTTAAGGAAACTTTCTCTCTTGATTTCTGTTATTAGAGATTAGAAATGAACACCACACTGAATATGGAGTGTGACTGGTTTAATATAGCACTCATTTTATGCACTTTCTGAGTCTTTAATTCGCAGGTTTAATTTCTCAGTCATAATTTTACACTAAAATTGGGCTGAGAACTGAGCATATGTATATAAAAGCCTACTGAAATAGAAGTTGCAGTAAAATATAATTCCCTGATGAGAATGGATAAGCATAACATAAAATTAAGCTTTACAGAAATAATAATGAACCAAAATAGTCAATGTCTTTCCTGTATCTCAGTGGAAGAAGTTGAGAATGTGATGAAATTCATGAATGAAACAACAGCACAGTGGAGGAACCTCTCCGTAGAGGTGAGAAGTGTGAGAAGCATGTTGGAAGAAGTAATTGCTAATTGGGACAGATATAGCAGCACCGTGGAAGGTCTACAAGCTTGGCTGGAAGATGCTGAAAAAAAGCTGAATCAACCTGAACATTCTAAAAAGGTATGCACTAATAGCCTATGCATCTGGCTACTTTGTAAATTATGAAACGTGGGGTATGTTTTTGCATTTGCTTAGGTTGATTTACAAAATGTCCTATAAGAGGGAGAGATCTTTCTGGCATACTGGCTACATTCATTGTAGGTGTTTCAATGCTTGCACACATAGTGTGTACAGACATATACATATATACATGCAATGAAGGAAGGCATCATCTGTGATAACATGGTTAGAGGCATCTTTGACATAAATATAGGGCAGCAGTATTGCTCAGAGATAAGAGTGTTACATGATTCACTCAAAGGCAAATACAGCTCAACACCAAAGTGCATAGTCATGTGCTGCATATAAAGACACTTAAAGAAAATTATTTTTTCCACTGATTTTTCTACCATATAGATGACAGGTTTCAATAGTAGTTGCCTTCACAAGACAACATCATTAATATGTGTTGTTATCTTTGATGGGTAATTAATCCATTTCCCTGGTGTTTTAGAAATCTTTTAGACAGTTCTTTTTGGGGACCCACAGTCATAAAGATAGTATTGCTGTCTTTTTTTACTGTTCTAATATTACAGTACTGCAGCACTAAGATTTATGTTTGTGAAACTTCCATAATGACCTGGACTGACCTGAATAATATTGTATTTAACAAGGTGCTACATTTTCACCCAATCCCAATGTAGCAGCTCCACAGTTTTTAACACCAAAGTATGGTTTTCATAGGTTGTAACATGTCAAACTGACATCAGGTCAGGAATGAGCATTTCATGTTACATGGCAGGACAGTATAATTTTTGGTAAAAGTTTGTGAATTTAAGTTGATGTAAAAGAATGGAATACACTTAAATAAAAATAAACCTGTGAAAAGGATTCAATAGTTTGGCATAATATAAATACCAACAGTTATTATTACTGAGCAGGAAAGATGACCTCAGCTGATCAGGTTGGTCTTAGCTCCTTGTGTATGTTTTATGTAAGTAACTTGGCGGTGTTTAAAATGAAATATTCTTATATCCATATATATGAATAAAATAGAAATATTTACTTCTCTGATCAGTTTTATAACTTTACTTTTAAAGATTTTCAAAGCAGAAATCTGAACATATCCATACAGTATATACTTGCTTCTGGTTTCTAAACTAAATCCAACAAGTACTTCTTACTGGTCTGATATATGAAGAGTTTCAAAAAGCCTTGTTGAAAACCTTAGACATGAAAGCATTACTCTTCCCAAAATGCTAATTTATTCTTAAAATTACATTGGCTCAAAACTGTTAAAGATTACTGAGAGGTAACATAATCCGCCTGTAGACTGAGATACATATTTTAAAAGTTTCTTCTGCTATTAATGTTGAATTAATTGCACTCCAGAGCAATAATGTTCACTTAAATAGTTCCAAGGATAGTTCTGATTTAGCAGTTTTAATATTTGGTAATTAAAACCAAAAGCAATACTTATATTGGCTTGTACAATTAATAGTCATACAGCCATCAGCACAAGCATCTGGAATCCCAGGTGAAAGATGATAACTATTGCTCAGAATATGGCATAAAACTTTTTTAAACATTTCCAAATATTTGTTCTGTAAAGCCACAAATATATCAGCAATATGATACAAAGATTTCATTAATGCTTATTTGCAAACCTTACCTGCATTACTAAACCCCACTATATTCTATCCTAGTCAAAGGCCATAGTAGCCCCTTACCATGCTGTCATGCTTTCTTCTTCTTTCCATTATCTCTGTATGATTTCACAACCAGCAAGTACCACTGTTCTTTTTGCAAAAGAAAATGGCTTGTTGGCTTTCTCCTTGGTTTCTGTTTTCAGAAACATTGTGAATCTGTAGCACAGATCTTGCAAAAAAGATCAGTATGTGCTTGGATTTTTCTACTGCAAAGTACTAGAAACTTAACAGTAAATGTATTAATGAACAAACCACTCCTTCTGCAACTCCTTTATTTACTTGCAGTACCTCTTAAGCACTTCCCATCATAACCCCGTTATAACTGCTCTCTCCCACACCTTTCTCCAACAGCTGTATCCAAAGGGTATCAGAGGGCTTCTAGATCTCATGTGGGGACTTCCTTAAAAAGAGCTGCATTGTTTTAATTGAGAATGAGGTGTGTTTCACAGTACTTTCCAAACTTGTCCAAATTTTACACAGGCTTTAGGTTGGCTTCTGAAATGGAGAAACTCCCCAGCAGGGTCTGAGGAAGGTAATGGTTTGTGGAAATAAGCGTGTGGGAGCAAGGATGCAAGTAGTTTACGCCATGTGCTTTTTCTTTCTTGACCTCTAGTAAGCCTGACCGTTGGAGAACTGACCAGTGCCAGATTTAGTAGACTTAATTTCTTTTGGATGTGCTCACAGAGCAAGGCTTTTGCTCCATTGTGAGTAGAAGAAGATTCAAACTGCACGTACAATATACTGAGATGATTAAGTTTATTCATTGAGACATCAGTACAGAGCATCTGTATGCTACTGGCCTCAGCTTTAGGAATTTAAAACACTGTATGTTCAATTTTCTCTTCAACAAATTTGAGCAGTATACATCCATTTGACGTTTTATTTTTGGTTGTATCAGAACTGGTTTTACATGTGGATGAGTTCTTACAAGCATAAACTATAAAGTTTCAGAACTGTAGCTTTGAAACTGGGATAACTGACAGTATGCTTGGACAGGACTTTTTCACATCTACCCCTGAGCAAAGGATTGCATGGGACTCTCATTATCAGATGAACAGTCTTGGAATTATAGGGTAGATGGATACTCATAAATAAAATGGGTCAGTGCCCCTTCCTTAGTCCTGAGGACTGAGTGGCACAGTTCATTCTGCATCCTTGTGGCTACTCTTTCTCCCCTGAAAGGAGGTGGCCTCATGATTCAGGCTATTGGGAACAGTCCTTGCCATGTGCCATCCATTGAATTGTGCATTGTTTGGGAGAATGGTAGCAGGGACAAGCCAAAACCATGTCAGAGATGTGGACGATCATGGGACAGTGATTGAGTCCTGTTTTGTTTACTGGTATAGCTGTAGTCATACTGCCTGGAGATACCTGCCTTAGGAACGATTGCCCATCCTCTTGAAGAGCAAAAAGGAAGGGAGGGAGCTGGTCTTTGTTTTCCCTACCAATTTATGTGTGTGTACCTGCCTACAAGATGAACAGAAGCATTTGGCACAATGGCTGGGCTGTTTAGACTGCCTCACTGTAACAGGGGAAAAAATTAAGTGGCGATCATCCCTTTCCCCTCCCCACTGACTTACTCTGAGATAGGAAGAAGCAGCAATAAAGAATCAGTCTTCTCAGGTCTTCTGGGATGCCAGACCCTGCAAACCTGCATGTAGGGGAAGAATCTCTCCACAGTCTGTATATGGCCCAGGTTACTATCAGCCCTTGCTGTTTCAAGAAAAGACAGAAATTAGATGAGCCCTAACAGTATTTTCAGTTACGGAACTTTCTGTTAAGGAGGAGTTCCATTAGTTTAACTGAAGCTACTCACTGCAGTAAAATGAGCTGTTAGTAAACTGGTAGTAATTTTTAATTCCATATCGTATGTTCACAGACATGAAAATTCTGTTATGGCATATCCAATATGAAGAGCTTCAGAGCATAATTGTTCAAAGGGTTTTATCAAGCCATTAGCTGGTGATTAAATTTTAGTTTCATAATTTAAGATAAAGACTAATTGAAAAGGTTTTGGAAAGGTGTTTTCATTTTCTTCTTCAGGATTTCTTCCGGCACTTACCTCATTGGATCCAACAGCACACAGCCATGAATGATGCTGGTAATTTTCTGATTGAAACATGTGATGAGACCATTTCCAGAGACCTTAAACAGCAGCTTCTGTTACTAAATGGAAGATGGAGAGAATTGTTTATGCAAGTTAAGCAGGTATGTGGTTTTGCTGTTGTTACTTTTAAATATGTACTTTGTCATTTCTGCAAGCAAGACAGATTTGCTCCACTAGCAGGACTATAGGACAACTTACTAAAGTGCCTAACTCTTCATCATTATTTAAATTAGAAATTAATCCCTGACAGCGGTTTATTTTAATGGAGCTCTTCCTTTGTTTATCTTTTTGGTTATACAGCTTTTTATTTTTATTTTTGGACATTTTTAGCTAGTATAAGCTGTAGTATTTCTTTATGGTCTCCTGTCTTGATACAGTGACTATTATTTATGCATATCCTCTACTGTTCTTCAAAGAAAATGATTGGTTTTAAGTAGCTATTGTTATTGTAAAAGCTCTGTAAAACTGAACAGTGAAAATGGGGACTTTGAATATTTTTACTACACTTTCATTAAAGTTGCATTAAATTATTGTATTGCAACCATAAGCAGGTACAATGCAAGTTAATTAACTAAATGTTTTCTGCAAAATGATCAGACATCACTTCTATCTTGTGCACAAGGAGGCACTGATATTAAATGAAAAAAAACTACCCTTTATCTCATGGAAGAGATATAACTGATTGGAAAAGAATTGTTGTTTCTATATTTGCTCTTTAAAAAGCAAAGAGAAGATGTGAGCTAAATTACACAGAAGTATTTCACACATCATAAACACATTAGAAAATATTTTTGCTATAGTGAATATACATTTAATGATATTTTCCCCTTCCAGTGATTTTAAATAGCAGTTGCCTGTTTGAAGATGCTGAATCTATTTTCTTTACTGGCATCATTATTTCCATTGCAGTCAAGTTAAATGGAAAAGCAAATAATGACTGACCCTTTTTTATTGTAACTTTTCCAAACTGTTGAGTAGAATGTTCTCAAGCTTTATTTGCTGATGATATTTAGGGTGATTCACTGTGGAAACAGTAATGCCCAGTATGTAGATGTCTCTTCCCCTAATTATGCAGCTTCTTTCATGTGCTGGCTATATGGTTTTTCTCACTGCCTTTTCACCATTTGTAAGACCTGGGTTTCCCCTTCCTCCAGCCAGCAGTTATTTTATTGAAATTTCCCTTATCCTTCAGCTTTTCTAGGTTTCTCGTGTTCTATTCTCTTTGTTGAATTTTCAAAATTGGTACTGTAAGCAATGAGAAATGAAATGAGATGTTGATTCTAGGTTAGAAATAAATGAAAGTCCGGCGTTCTCCAAATGATCCAAACCTTAAAAAAGGCTGACCTCTTTTATGAATGTTGTTCTTTTTAGCACTATTGAAACTAATGCAGACAATTAGTGTCTAACTAATTTAAAAGATTAGTTTCCATTATTTTGTATTTTGTTGAATGCATTCTTTCCAGCAAACAATTGCACTTAAAACATGCTAATTCTCTTAAGTCATTACTTAACTGCCAGATATTTCATTTGTGGTGGTTATTTTTTTGTTTATTTCTTTTTACTTCACGTTTTCTTAGTATGCTCGAGCAGATGAACTGGACAAATTGAAGAAAGAATACTTGGATGGGGTTGCCCATTTGACAGCTTTTATTGATGGAAGCAATAGCAAATTTTCAGTCCCTGTAGAAGTGTCCTTCCTTGATGTCAAAATGTTTGTACAAGATTTAGAAGTAAGTGTCTTCCTTCCATTCCTTTCTTTCTCTCTCATAAGAGAGAAATTTGTAACTATTTAAATCTGACAGCATAAAATTATTTTAGTGTACATTTCCATTATTACTATTTTTTTTATCAGTGGTGCTTTGTTGTATAATTTCTGCTATAGCTAATATAAATCATTGTATTCTATGAGTGACATTTCTAGAGCACATTTCCAAAACACTGTCCCACTGGATATTTCTTTCTGTGTATTTTCAAATCATATACAGGTGAGCTGACTGATACCCTTTGGCACAGTTTTCATGCATTTGAAATATGATCTAGTATTTACTAAAATCAGCGATGAAAACAATTGATAATTGGAATATATATCTTTTATCTCTTGAGAACAGACTTGTATCTCCCATGAATGCATAGATGCTGTTGTTGAAATATTTTTGAAACATTTGTTTCAGAATATTAAGCAGAAATTGCCTGCGATGGAAGCTCAGTACAAAATGGTTACTAGAACAGCGCAAATTGTTACAAAAGAAGTTTCCCAACAGGAAGTGAATGAAATGCTTGGAACTTTGACAAGGATCAAAGAGCAGCTGAGCAAGGTTGCAGAATACTTTTTCTACTACACATGTTGTTGACTGTTGAACTAATAAATAGTAAGCTCCCATATACAAATGCTCAGATATATGCATCTGAGCAAATATATAGTTATAGTAATAACAGATTGATTCAGGGTGAAGAAAAAGTTACTTCTTTTAGAATTTATGACTACCATCCTTAAATGTAACATTCTTTTCTTTAAGAAGCAATACAGGATCAGGATTGATCTATTTTAAAAGAAGCAGGTAGCAACTATATAAACCCACATGCAGAAGCAGCTGCTATTTATTGAATTTTACTTTTTTAATAATTATTTTTCTTTAAAACGTCCAAAAGGTTAAGGAGTATTCCTGTGCCCTGCTGTATGAATGCCAGCATCTGCTGTCTCCACTGGAAGAACTGGAGAAACAAATCACACATTTTTATGAATCTCTTGAAAAAGTCAATGAAATAATTTCTATCCTGGATCCTGAAGCACAACCTACAACTGTTCTTAAACAAAAAGCCCAAGTAAGTTTCAAAAACATCTCACAAAGATCTCCTGCCTCTGAGTATTTACAGTTAGCTTTCTAGGAATTTGGATTGGAACTTGGTAAGCTAAGAAAATGCTTCTTCATATTCAGGCAACAAACATAGCCTATCCTAAAGTCAGCTAGGCATAAATGTACAAAGACTGAAACTTGTGTTCCCTCCTAGTGCCCGTGGTTTTAATCCAAGAAGTAAATATAGGACTTTTTTTTTAATCTAGTGGAAATTGGACTGAAGTATCAGAAATACATTGGATTTTTTATTAAGCAGATGAAATAACATGATCAGGAGCTTCCCTAGGTTTTCTTGGACAATTATGGAAGTTTCTTAGAAGTCTGGAAGCGGTTTCTTTGAAGTGCATTGTAGTAGAACATTAACTTTTCTACCTGACCAATAAACATTTCATTCTGGAGGAATTCAGAGCTAGTCAGAACTCACTTGGAAAGGCAAATGAAAATATGAGGATCTCGCATAGAAATTGGCATTTATCCTTGTGTATGTGTGACATACAGCCTCAAAATTGATATACACATTTCATTAGAGTCAGATTTGACAGGTAATATAATGAAATGGATTTTTTATGAATTTTTTTTTTAAGTCTTCATATTTTATGAAGTCTTTCAAAACCATTTAGACTGCCTTGCAAAAAAAATATACTGGAACAAAGAGATTTAATTTCATGTGTGTATATATATATAAATATATA